TATAAATTAACCACTAAAGATAACGAGGTAAAAAATGGAACCATTAGTTTATTAGTTTAATACAATAATAAAAATGGTTGTATCTGTGATGAAACAAAATTACAAATTGCCTGTTGGTAAAAATGATTTTGTCATTAAGAGCTTCTTTGATGACAGCATAAAACAAAGTTTAGGAATAAGAAACTTTTCTGAAACTGCTTTCAACATTTCATAATATTGGACAACCAGGTCAGTTTTATCTAACATCTAAAGTGTATGACATTGTGCAAACTTGTAACTAGTCTCTTTCTTTGTGTCAGACTTAGTTACAGCACCTGCTCCATGATACAGTTTCTGGTGGATCTCCTGTTTTTGAGGTTCCTACCCACTTACACTGAGGGAGATCGGTGAATCTGAGAATACTACGATGTCAGTCCTTACTGTGCTACAAACTTTACCGACTGAAAAGAGGAGAAATCCGAGAGGCTCACAAATCACTGAACGAATATCACAAGGTAAGAAAATGATTATTGCTGTTTCTTTGTGTTACATTTTTTAATACATAATTACATAATGATATCCTTACTGTACTTGAAATTCATAATACTTTGTTGTTTAGTTTACTGACATCGTAAACTAAACAACAAAGTATTATGAATTTCAAGTACAGTAAGGACTGACATCGTAAACTAAACAACAAAGTATTATGAATTTCAAGTCCAGTAAGGACTGACATCGTAAACTAAACAACAAAGTATTATGAATTTCAAATTTTGCACCTAAAATATATATGCAATAACTCTTTAATGCATGTTCAAATATGAATAAGAAAGCTGTAACACATTTACACGCCTGGTTTCAGTATGTGTGGGTGTGTTTTTGTGTAGAAAGAAAAAATATTAAAAGAATGAAGTATAGGCTTCAGATTTGTACAAAAAATTATTATAGAAGGATCAATTCTCTAATTTGCTAAAGATTGATATATTTTAAAAATTAAAGAATTTTGTAATGCTGGAAAAACATATGATCTAAGTATTTATTACAAAAGTTTTATGACACAAATTTGTTTCTGTTGATAGTTGGTTTTTAGTTTCTTCAAAACAAAAATTCATATCCTGAAAAAATTTTCAAGTTCGTTCACAAATACTCTTATTAAACATACCATTAAGTATTAAAACTCAGAATAATTATAAAGATTAAAACCCATTTCACTTAAGAAACACTAACAGTACTTACTTAATCTTGACAAATATTACAAAAATAGTCAAGTGCAAGTTACTTTGCTTTCATACCAGTTTAAAAGTTTCATAAAGTGCTTACACTGAAACACAGTCAATGAAAAAATATCAACATTCCTGACTTCCTCAGATTTTACTTACCTTAGAACTGTTATTCTTTTATCTAAGTTACAAGTATTTTGCTGCATTTTCTGGAACTTTGACCATATGCATCTGTGATACAAATCAAAGAGAAACTAATATTAATATTTCCTGACAAATTAATATAGATTATAATAAACAATTGAAAACAACGTTTCATATTTACACAATAAAAACTTTATTGAAGCCGTACGGCTTACATTTTAAAATATAAATATCACTCTGCATGTACATGTTTTGAGGTGATCTACGTTATCCTCAGTAGTAACTCACAAGACGATTT